AAAGAGAAAGGTTTGAAGTTTGGTTTTCATGAGGTGAATGCTATAACAAAAGATTTGGACATGGCCTTAAGATCTGGCTTACAAAGAGGTTTTATAGGCACCAGGAAATTCAGTGGAATGCAACTACTAGAGATTTGAAACCCTATTCTTCCAACTGTATCACAGCTTTTATCCAAGCCTCCTAAGAAGCAGCTGGTTAATATGTTGTAATCGTTGACTTGAGCACAATGTTTAGCTCAAGTAACCACATAAAGAGAAAATAACAAGACAAAATGTCAAGCTATGTATTAACTGGAAATACTCTATACTACAGTTCTATATAAAACTGTCAGGTCCAAACACATTGCTGCTAGAACTGTGCTGGAAAATTATCTAAAGGTAACCTCTGATAATGCTTGCATAGCCAGTGATGGGCATCTCAGGGGATCACTAATATTAGTTGATATTCCATGATAAAGTAGTTCCAGAAAATCTGCTCACTGAATTTATAGTCTGGTTCATTTGTTAATGCTCTCACTTCTGGGTCCCAAGGTCAGTCAAACAAGGCTTTGGGCATGTATCCAATATTGACAGTGCCATCTTGGGAAAGGAATTATACTGTTGGAGGTGTTGCCGTTATTAGATCTCCAAGGCCAAACTCAAGGAGTTGTCTAAATGAAAAATAAAGATCCTAAGATAATATAAAGGCATAGGTGTGCTTGAAATAGGCTAAAGATAGTCATCCTTTATGGAATGGTTACTTGCCAGTAGGTACATAGACAGTGCTTTTTTTAGTTAGAACAATAATTCCCTGAGACAGACTCAGAATGAGATTCATAAAGCAGCTCTGCTGCCTATAATGGGACTTAAAAAGAATTGAGGTACCAGAGAGCAATTTATGGCTCTCCTTGGCAAATACTGTATTTTTATTTTTACCAACACTCCTCCCATCTTACATAGGTGCCTGAAGTGCAGCTGCTTTATTTGTGTCATGAGATACTGCCATCTTTCCTGTAATGAACCCTTAGGCACCTGTCTCCCACCTTATAGACACTTAGATACACCAAAATTTAATCTGTGAATTTCAAGTTGCCAGAGGGCCACAAATGTGCATTCTGACCATGGCTAACACCTACTGACATCACTGAGTTTAGCACCCATGGCCATGTTCATTCAAAAGCAGGACTGGGAGGTGAGGGGCGTAGCAAGCACCAGAATAGGGACTACCTGCCCCCAGGCGTTAGATTTTATAGAATGACTAATTTAGAATAGGAAAAAAAAAATCATCCTAGTCATTAATGATGAAACAATTACAAGGGTGAATGTAGATAGATAGAATTGAAGCTGGGTTATTTTAGTACCTCTTATAAGCAGTACCCTTTGCAATACAACACTGCAAAGAAAAGCAGAAGAGTTTCCTTTACTGGCATGAAATCTGCTGATAATGTGTGTTAGAAGCTATCTTAGTACCTTTGGAGCACTTTATATTTCATAGTTCAGACTGGGACATAGGTATAGAAAATGTTTCATATGGGGACTAGGTAATAAATGCAGTCATGTTCCTTCTTGCTGCATTGTGAATCCATACCTGTACACAGGGGCACAACCCAGATGCTAAAGTCCAGACTGGGGGTTTTAGGTTGTGAATCCCAATCTCACCTAGACAACTAACCTAGAATTATGGGGAGGTACTTAACTGCATCTTGGTTCCACAAGGGAGGTAGGATTTCAGATACAAGCTTCTCTTCTATGTGTTGCCCCAGTCAGGCTGCTGGATGTTAGATGCCCAATCTTAGCTCTCCCCATTTAAAGTATAGTAAAGGGAATTTAGGTCCCAAATTTGGGCTTGGGTCAAGAGCTGGGACAGGAATGGCAGTACTGAGCATTCTTAAGTTCCTCTCTGAACCTCGCTATGTAAAAATATTACAATGTAATTGCTATAATGCATCATTTCTATAGTACATAGTACTCTCTATTTACAAAGTATAAAGCCAAATTTGCCCCGTTATAAAACATAATCACCCTTGAGAAGGAACTATCCCCACTTCACAGATAACAGATCTACAGCACAGAAACCGTATAACTTGCCAAATTGCCCAATGCTACAAGGCATGTCCATGAAAGTCTGAAGAAATCCAGTGTTCATGCCTTCCAGCCTCACGCTCATCCCTGCAGAGTTTGCTGTATTTTCAGAATGTACATTCAGTTCTGCTTGATAGCAGCTCTGGGAAAATAGCATCCTTGCTCTGTAATCTTTTCCATACAGGAGAACAAAAGAACTGTGATTTGGGTCAGTTTGTATAATATGGATGTGTGGATCCCCATAGAATACACTTATGGCAATAAAAGACCAAGGGACAGGAGGTCAGTTCCATGGGTGATGTAAACCTATGTAGCAGCATTGATTTAAATGGGCCACAGTGTTTACTTTGTGAAAGTTGACTTATTTATTTGCTATATACACAAAGCAAATAGATAAGCCCTAACTACTACTGTAAATGCTCATTTGGTCATTCTCAGAGCCTTGTTATATGTTACACTGTGAGCCGCTCAAGTGTTCATCGGTGTTAGGGCTAGCTCGAGTTTAGAGCAGTCACACATTCAAGGCAGCAGGGGCCTGGAGGATTGAAAGGTAAGAAGCCTCCCCACTCCCATTCTGAGGGTCCCTCCTGCCCCCTGCAGCTCCTCTGGTCCCCCACCCATCTCCCCGCCAGGTCTCACCCCCCATCCTTTGGGGTTGCCTTGTGTCCCCTCAGGGCCCCACTCTGGTCCCCAGAGTTCCCCTGCCCCCCTCTAGAGCTCCCCCCACTTCTTCCCCTACTTGTGGCTGCCTGCACTGTCGGTCTTGCGGGGGGAGTAGGCAGGGAAGGGTTAAACTGCCTGCCTAGCCCCCATTGCCACCACTGTGAGGCTGCTGTTCTTGTCTAGGCTGAGCCCAGCCCAGAAAGCAGTAGTGGTAGTAGTGGCAAGAGTGGGGCAGGCAGGTAAACACTTCCCTGCCTGCTCCCCAGGGACAGACAGTACAGGCAGCCACAAGTAATCAGGGGTGGTGGTGAGCAGGGATCTGGGGTGCTGGGAAGGATGGAGGGGGGCACAGGGCCACATCTAGGCCAGTGGGGTGGGGGGCTAAGAGCTCCAGGAGCTGCCTAAAATTGAAGTGCAGCAAGGCCCTCAGTTAACATTAGGAACACAATGGCGTGTCTTTATCAGGACAGATACCTCTAGGAATTTGAAATAGTGGAACAAGCAACATTGTGTGTGTTTGAATTGAGGAGCAGACCCTACTTGCTCAAAATGGTAGGATAGATTTGTAACTTGCACAGCATAAGCCAAATTCTGCCCCTCATGCAGATGTAGTGGAGACAGATGGGTGGATTCTTTGGTCTGCAAAACCTGCCTTGCACCGTGTACGCCTTACAGTGGCTTCAGATCAGCTGCAGATAGCCACTGTGGAATTCTCCCCTGAGAAAACTCCCAGCTGAAAGCAGGAGAGCAGCTCGTGGCCTTCCACATTTACTAATTCTTAAAACAAACAAACAAACAAACAAAGCCATCTGGGCACCTAAAAGCTCAGTCAAATGCCTCTCTGTGGAATTTCATTGTCTAATTGTTACAAATTGGTCCAAAGTGGCTTTTCCATACAACTATAAAACTTCTATTCATTCCAGATTTCCTGATGGCATATCCATGCCTCACAGGTTAATTTTTGCATCTAGGTACATGGTAGCTTTGGTTATATAAATCATTGAACAATAGCAAAGGCAAAACATTTTCATAGGTCTGTTGGGTGGATGTTTGGCACTTTTTCAATATCGAACTATTAAAAAAAAAAAAAAAGTTTTCCCTTCCTTTTTCAACATGTTAAAACTCTATTTGTAACGACTGGTTTCTGGTAACCTCTTGGACAAAACTTCACAGCATTACAAGCAAGGTGCTATAAGCCAGTCCCATTTTTTTGTCTAGACCAGTGGTTTTTCACCAGGGTGCCACAGCAGCCTCTGAAGGTGCCAAGTGAAACTGTCCTGTGTGCCTCTGTTTCCAGGAACCACGTACAGAGCTAGATTGGGAAATGGCTGTGGTAGGATAGGGTGCTCCTGCTTGCATTAGGTTTATCTGCACCCCTTCCTGATGTAGCCACTTCCTGGTCAAGCTCCACACATGCTTCCTAGAAACAGGAGGTGCCCACGTAGTTTTACCAGAGGCAGCAGAAGCAGTGCTGCAGCACCCTTGAAAGGAGGATTTAGTTCTAATGCAGCAGGAGCTCCCCCTTCTGTTGCAGCTGCTTCTTAACGGCCCCACGTGCTGCTCCTGGAAAATAGGGTACCACTAAGTTTAGAAAAGTTATGGAGATGCTGTAAGCCTAAAAATGGTTAAAACCAGGGTGTGAATTACAGGGGAGCTCAGGGGGTGGGACTGAGGCTCCCCCCCATAAGAGATGAGCACCATAAGAGATGTAAGATTGGAAAAACATAACCTGGGGGTGCTCTCTGATTGGATTGCTCCTTCCAGTGAACCAGTTTAATTTTGTTTGCAGACCGCCCCCAAGAGTCAAAGTATAATTCAAACCCTGGTTAAGACCCATGGATTTAGACCAAACAAAATAAAGTTTTTAGCTAATTTTATCTCTAGCCTAAAGGCAGAATTTTTTTCCAAGTGTTTTGGCCTTTCACAGATGAAAGATTTATAAAAGAAATAGTGAATGATGTGAAAATGTCACACTTCACTGCACAATGCATCAGCAATGCATATTTCCAGTCATTTCATACACGAGAGGCAAGGATTTGTAATGATAGCTTTTACTGGACCAACTACATTGCTGAGAGAGCTGTCAGACAAGCTTTCCCAGTGATATATCTTGTCCATTAAAAGATATCACTAAAAACCCTTGCCTCTTGTACATTTCCTGGACCATCATAGCTGCTACAACAGTCCAACCCTACTAGTCATTTAATGTTGCATTTCCTTATTTCATATTTATGAAAAATTCCCAACACAAATAATAATAATAATAAATCACTTACCTCACACCATTCTATTTTTCCATCAGGATTGTTACTAATCTTCCTAAAAAAGGCCTTAACATCTTGATCCTTCACTTCCGGACCAAAAAGAGTCTGTACTGTTGCACAGAATTTATCATAATCTATTTCATCTGCATGGAGGAACAACAATAAACAGGTGCAAAGTTGAAAACTGTCAAACCTTGCTTTACATATTTGTCTCTTGCCTTATTTTACTTTCAGTATCATTAACGTTTAAATTTTCACACTAGTGATATCAAGTATTAGGGTATTCTTGGCAAAAAAAGGTTTTCTTGTAGTTTTCAAAAATCTCATGGTTTGGCAAACAGTACATTCAGAAACCCTATAGGCTGAGAGGGAACACAGGTTAGAAGCTTTCCACCCACTAATTCTGTCTTATCCCCAAAAGCATTAAGGGGCAACTGTGCCAACCCTGGTTGTTCTGATGCCAAAAGGGGTCTTGTGGTAAAGCCTATTATTTTGACACTGACATTCAGTGACAACAACACCACCTCATCTATATCATTTACAAGAACAGAGATTAACTTGGATAATTAACAGGTTCACAGTAGTATAAATCATTAGAAAGTAAATAACGATAGCGTTTATGGGGTATTATGGGATTATTACAGAATATTGTAAAGTTAGTATTTCTGTAGACAAATGGTACTGTGGCAGAACCTGGGCACAGTGAGAATGCTATTAATCCAAATTGAATTGGGGAAACGTATTTTCTTAGAGCAAACTGCATACTTCCCCTCAAGAGTGGGGAAGTTGAGGCCTAAGTTTTGGACCCTTCTCTCTACCTCAATGACCCTTCCACTCCAAAATTTCATATCCCATCAGTCAGAAAGCATGTCTCTTACTCTCATCTTTAATGTACAGGCCTAATCTTTCCTCCTTCTTCTGAGCTACTGTTTTTTCAACTACTTTCTGAAACTGCCTTAAAGCATTCTTGAAATTTGCCACATCAGAAAAGGTAGAGCAGTTCTGTTTATCTGAATCCTTCCAGTCAGACATCCTTGATTAAAAGAGGGAACCGAGGTAGGAAGGACGGCTTGGAGAATTGTCCTTCTGGCAGACTGTTCTTAATCTTGTTCTGGTCTTTAAACCTTCAGCTTCTGTCGGAGGGCTGAGAGGCATGGACATGACCCTACATCTCAGGTGTAACTTCAGAGAGGAAAAATAACTTAGGCCCAACAAGCATGTCATGCTGGAAAACCTACCAGCAAACCCCGATGTCATAAATCCCTGTTACATCATAGGGGATCTCCTGATCAGTGAGCCACCCTAGGTCACAAAAACCAGTACCAGTGACAGCTTGGTGAAAGACAATTTCTTTCCCAGTTTCCCCACCTCCAGAAAAAGAAAGGCACAACCATGGTCTTGAAAAGAAAGACCTTGCTAGTAAGTGAGATTCCTTCTGTTATTTTCTTTTCAGCATTTTAGGAACCCTTTTCTTCCCACTGACCAGTGGTGATTGACTCTCTCAAACTTCCTTCTAACCCCAGTGAGCAGAGGTTCCCTTATCTCATTAGTCCTTGTGGCATATCACTGTCCAGTTGCATATGCTCCATTAGATGACATAGATGTGGCTGAGATGGGCAAGAACCTCTCTTTACTTGGGAGGAAGGGGTGATTTTCTGATGGCTGTATTCTTTGGATTATTTGTGTAATATTGCATGGCACTCAGATTGGTTATAACTGAATTCAGCTGGGTATGAGACTATTCACAAACATGAAAGGAAATATTC